CTGCGGACTCTGCCAGGGCAGGGTCGTGCTGTCCGCATCCCCTGCGTGCATCTCGGCTGCGTCGGGGACCATGGCCGGGGCCCCCACAAAGGTTCCCAGTCCACGGAGCTCACCTGCGGATGATGCAGCCCCCTCGCCACATGAGGGCGATGCCGCCGTAGTTGAGGGTCCAGCCGAACTCGGACGCCGCCTGCCTCAGCAGCATGAAGCCCTGCGCGTACGAGATGATCTTGGACGCATAGAGGGCCTAGGTGACAGTGACACCGGACTCTGAGGCTGCAGCTGGAGAGCCACCCCCCCTCCGCGGCCGCAGAGCCCACAGGACAGGGAGGGAGCCAGCCGGGGAAGCCCTACCTTTCGGATGTCCTCCAGGAAGGTCTTCCTGTCACCCCCAAACTGGGTCTTCGGGGGGCCCTTCAGCCTCTGGCTGGCATGGACCCGCTCATCCTTCAGGGACGACAAGCACCGGGCGAACACAGCTTCTCCTGCGCGGGGCAAGCGATAGCAGAAGCTCCAACCGCAGGCCCCAAGTTGAGGGTCGGGACGCTGCATGCGCGCCAACAGGAACAAGGTCGACCACAGAGATCGACAGAACTCCTTCAAGGGGGTTCGGAGGCAAAGTGCAGAAATACAGCAACTATTCACACCTACTCAGTATTGGCCGTGAAATATAATTTCGCTTTCAATTTATAAGACTTTTTTGGTTTTGTTTGAAGGATTTCAGTCCAATAGCTGTGAGGAAGGAGTAATATATAATTTTGTGGAGATTCAACTATATAGTTTTCACAGATTGTTTTTTTTTGGACCGAGGATCAATCTCAGGACCTTGCGCTTACAAGGCAGAAGCGGTGCCACTGAGCCGAATCCCTGGCCCACTCACAGATTCCTTTTTTTATTTGGAACGGAGGATTGAAGTAGGGTCCTTGCACTTGCAAGGCAGGCAGTGGCACCACTGAGCTAAATCCCCAGCCCTATGTGTAATAACTGAAATAAAATTTTCTAAAAAGCTAGGAATAATTTTCAGTGCCAACCAAAGTTAAGTAGCCTCCCTCCTACTCTTGAAGCTTTTGTTTTTGCCTGACAATGTCCACTTTGTCAGAAAAGTTTTCTGATCAATCACTATCTTAGCCCTTCGGCTACAAGGAAGAGGCCTCCTTGAAGCCTTGTCTGGGTCTGTTACCAGCTCCAGATTATTAGCTTCTTTAGCACAGAGTATGAACATATGGAAAGGGGAACCTTCCACTGTGCCTCTAAGTCCTGAGGTCCACTCTCTCCATTTTATAAGAATTTTCCCTTAAAAAAAAAAAAAAAAGATAAAACTGGGTCAGGGATTTAGCTCAGGGGCACCACACCTGCCTTCCAAGGGCAAGGTTCTGAGTTTGATCCCTGATACAAAACAAAAAACAAAAAAAACCTTTCATGTATTTGTCAGTTTTTTCTGTGAATTTTGAATTCGAAGACATTATTTTTTGCTTGTTTTTTGTTTGTTTGTTTTGACAGGGTCTAGCTTTGTAGCTCAGGTTAGCTTCAAACTCATGGTGATCCTCCTGCCTCAGCCTCCTGAGTCCTGGGATGACAGGGGTGTGCCACCATGCCTGACTCATTTTTATTTTATTTTCAGTACTGGGTATTAAGCCCAGGGAGCCTTAAACTACATCCCCATACTTTTTATTTTGAGAAAGGACCTAAGTTGCCCAGGCTGGCCTCAAACTTGTAATGCTCCTGCTTTAGCCTCCTGAATAGCTAGGATTACAGACATGTTTTGTTTTGTTTTTTTGAGACAGGACCTCACTACATAGTTCAGACTGGCCTTGCATTCATTCTGCAGCCCAGGCTGGCCTCGAACTTGTGGTGATCCTCCTGCCTCAGCCGCTCAAGTGTCAAGATTACAGATGTGCATCAACACACCCCATTTAACAATTTATATAATTAAAATAAATGATTTTCTTTTTTGTCCAGACAAAATGGGCAGAAATCCAGGAAGTGATTGAGGACCTATAGAGAGGATGCAGGCCGTGAACTACAGCATGAGCTGAGCTCCAGGCATCCAGGCAGATGTCCTCCTGTCCCCACCCACCCGGCCATACAGGCAAACTCAGCAGGAGGGGAAGGAAGCTTCACACAACACTGCAACACACGAGTGTGGCAAAGCCTCCGTGTTGCCCAACGCTTCCTGCCTGAGGGAAGGGGATGAAGTCTCCACAGGAAGGAGAGAGGGCTCTTTTGGGGACTGTGCCACCCTTACAGCACCTCGGTCCCTGTGAACAGAGAGCTCAGGGCTGCCAACTTCCCTGCGCACACCTGGGGCTTATGAGCCTGCCCCCCGCTTTCCATGCAAGGTGAGGCCAGGCTGACCAGGAAGTCAGGGCGAGGAAAGCCCAGGCTTGGTGGTGCACACTGTAATCCTAGCACTCAGAGGCAGAGGAAGATCTCCATGCATTCCAGACCAGCCTGGCTATAGAGTTCAAGGCCAGCCTTTACTGCAAAGCAGTAACAGTCACTGACTAGACTTCAAGGAGGAGTGCTAAATAGTCCCAAGCTAAAACTGGATGGGAAGGCACTAAGCTGTGCATGGCCCTCACGGCCCGTGGGGAAAGAGCAATGTGAAGAGACTCCTAAGCAGGGTCTACTCCCTTCCTGCACAAAGACCCCGAGTGCTGCCGGGCTGGATGATGGCCTACACACCCGTCAGAGCAGCATTCCAGAGGGACTCCAGGTCAGAACGGGGAACTGGGGCCTTACCAATGAGGGTGACAGGGACACCATATTCCAGGGCGGAGATGGCCGTCCACTTCCCAGTGCCCTTCTGCCCCGCGCTGTCCCTGATCTTAGGCAGCAGATGTTGGCCATCGCTGTCTTTGAACTTGAGGATATTGGCAGTGATTTCAATCAGGAACGAGTCCAGCTCCGTCTTATTCCAGTCCTCAAATGCCTGTGGTGGTGGCAGAGGGACAAAGCAACATCAGGGCCAGGCGGCTTCCGCAGGGCAAGCTCCTCCCCGGCCTCCACAGTGACCAGGCGCACGGGGCTGGGAGTGGAGGGCGAGCCCCCTGGCGTCCAGGTGGAGCAGCCCACGGCACAAACAGAACCATCCCTCCACTTTGTTTCTTCGAGACAGTCTCCATGAACCAGTTACTGCCTGTCTGTCTTCTGAGCCCATGAAGCCTTAGGACAGTGCCTCCCATGGAGAAAGCGCTTCTATTCGTGTGTTAGATGAACAGAGGAGTAGTGTGTAAACCGAGCAAATACGAACAAACAAAGCACACTCAAGACAGGAGGATGGGTGCTGAGCGTGGTAGCACACATCTGTAATGCTGGCACTTGGGAGGCTGAGGCAGGAGGATCACTGAGAGTTCAAAGCTACCCTGGGCTACACAGTGAGTATTCAAGGCCAGCCTGAACTACCTAGTGAGACGCTGTCTCTACAACAGAAAACAAAACAAAACAAAGAGGGAGGATGGGGCGGGGGAAGCTCAGTGTGGATCACTCGCCTTGGTGCACCAGGTTCAATCCCATGTCTTCAACTGAAACAAATGTTTACCTAATGATGCTTCAGTATCAGGGGAAGAAGGTACCGATGCCAGCCACTGACCCTGCACTGTGCCCAAAACACCATGCGAGCCCGCCAGCAGCCGGACAGGGAGTGCAGTGAGACGCTAACATGGGCCCGGGGGTGCATGGCGACCACAGTGGGACCCTTGCCATGTGTTCGAAGGTTTTCTGAATAAAATGCTAGTGAAATCCTCTGCTTCGGTCTGCACTAACTTCTCTGGAGATCCATCAGTAGGCCCGGCCCGAGCAGCAGGGAAAGCTCCCTGGCTGACAGGTGACCGACCGCACCCCGTGACGTGGGCCATGATTACCCCCAGACGGGACACTCTGGGACTCTGCTGCGTGACTGGCTGTCCTACTTTCTGGTCCCATTACCAACGGCTTCCCCTCAATTAGCGTCCAGGCAGGCGCCGGATGCCCGGGGATGGGAGGGAGGGAGGGGTGGGGCCGCACCTGGGCCATGTCCGCGTGCCGCAGGCCCAGCACATCCTTCATCAGGTGGTACGCCTCGCAGATGAGCTGCATGTCGCCGTACTCGATGCCGTTGTGCACCATCTTCACGAAGTGCCCGGCCCCCTCATCTCCCACCTGTGGGGCAGCAGGCACGGGGCCATCAGAGTGGGGACGGCAGCCCCACAGGTCCTTGGCAAGGCTCCCTTCCACCCATACAAAGAGCCACACAGGGGAAGCGAACAGAATTCCAAGCCCAACTCAGCCAGCGACCCATGCAGGCTTCTACTCCGTTTGCTGTGACCTCAACCAGGCAGGTTCGTCCCCTGCAGGTCCCCAGCGTCTCGTGAAAGCCATGTGGTCTCGCTGGGCCTCGTTCTAACTGCTTTTCTCCCCAGCCCCTACCCACAAGTTTAAAAAGTTCTCTTCTAGGGAACTGGGAGTTTAGCTCAGTGGGGCCGCACCTGCCTCACAAGTGCAAGGACCTGAGTTTGACCCCCAGTGCTGGAGAAAAAGAGGTTCTCTTTTCCTGGTTACCACTTTTTTTAGAAACCAGAAGTTACAATAAATTGGCTAATCACTTGTCTTTCCACATATAAATATGCTGTGGTTGTTTCCATGGCTACAGAGGGGGTAAAATGGCCTTGCGAGGCATCTGGCTCTCAACTTCCTAAGTCCAGAAATGCATTCTTCCCAAACCCTGCTGCTGACGAGGTCCTGCCTCACACAAGCTGGCCAGACATAAAAGTGTCTGAATAGTTGCCAAGTTCACGATGGGTAACTTAATGAGGGATCTCAGTGGTTACAAGTTACTGTAGCCTGTCAGCCCAGCACCTGGGAAGCTGAGGCAGGAAGATCACTGTGAGTTTGAGGACAGCCTAGACTCCACAGTGAGTTTAAGACCAGCCTGGACTACCTAGCAATACCCTGTTTGGAAACCAGAAGACACATATTGCTCTAAGAGACTCATTCTGTGCCTGCCGGAGTGACTGGGAAAGCAAACCACAAACTGTCCAGTGGGCAGAGAACCTGGCACAGACAAGTCGGGTCCTTCGTGCCCAGGCGCCAGTCTCACTCCCACTGCCTGTGCACACTGGCAGCTGCATCTCCTGGCCGTCCCAGCCTCCAGGCACCAACAGCAGACTGGGCATCCACACTGCTGGCCAGGCCCTCCTGCCTGTGACACTGCCGCACAGCACCATGGCCACGGCCTCAGGCCCATGGTTTCCGGCACCCTGAGCCCGGAGGCCTCAGACAGGCAGCCTGGCCTAAGAGATCCACAGGGGCAGCCTGCGCTGCCCTCCTGATTCTACCCCACTGCGGCTAAGAACAAGCCAGGGTCGCGGGCGTTCCTGTCACCACCGCTCGGGATCAAGCCCCTGTCCTGCCACAGCCTCTGACCCACCTTAGCGACTGCACACCACGCCAGCCCTGGGGAAAGGCAGGCGCCGGGTGAGCTGCCGTGAAGACTGCCAGGCCCCGGCATCCGGGAAGGAGGGTGCCTGTCCCTCAGGCCTCACGCCCCCATCCAGTCACAGCCCCACTGACTCAAAAGATATAAAGTACGGAAATCAGCAGGCAAAACAGCTGATCTAACATGAAGGCGAGGGGCAGGACAGAGTGTGCAGATCACCCAGCCCAACCCTCAGGAAGCGGAAGTCCATGGGGAAGCACGGAGACGACGCTCCTCTCCTCCTCACACCCACAAGGCTGCGGCTGCAGTGAACAGGAGAGCAGGTGTCTGGGAACCACCAGGCTTCTGCACTTCCGGACTCAAGCACTCAGCACCCAGATCCCAAGAGCAGGGACGGGGTTCTCCACCTCCACAGTGGAGCCCAACCCACCCTCCTCCCCCAGGCAGCGCACCCCGCTCCCCTCTGAGTCCTCCAGCTATGATGGGATGCTAGAGAAGCTCCGGTCTCTCCCTGCCCTGTCTGCTTTCGCTGTGGAACCCCAGGAGGCTGCTTTAGTGGCTCAGTGTCTGCGTTCGGCTGTTCTCTCATCACTCAGACAGGCCCGATGCCCATGGCGTTGCAGGGGCACCCGGAACTTGCCCAGTCACAGCAGGGCTCTCCAGTCCCCACTTTGGCAGCGATGCTCTGGAAGATTGTCTTGATGTGTGGCCTGTGGAAGGGAGAGAAGGATTCAGCTCAGCCTGGAGAGATGGGCTCGGCTCTGCTCAGTAATCAAATGTTCTACTTTCCGATGGAGGCAGAAGTGCTCATTAAACTGACGAGCACACCAAGCTCTACAGGTCAACGCCAGGCCGGGGCCTCTGGGTCTCCATGGGCCTCGGGGTAGAGGCTGCCAACCACCTGCCTCAGACAACAGACAGAAAGGCTGGGCAGAGTGCATGCCTGTAGCCCAGCACTTGGGAGGCTGAGGCAGGAGGATCCTGCATTTCAAGTCACTCTGGGCCACAGAGCAAGTTCAAGGCTGGCCTCGACCATGTCGTGAGACTGTCTCGAAAAGCAAAACAAAAAGGCGGGGAAGAAGCATCATGAAAGTGCGGTGGGGATGCAGCTCAGCAATAAGCACGTGCAGCCCTGGGTTCCATCCCCAGCAATGCACAAGCGAGCACACGCACGCGCGTGCACACACACACACACACACAGAGCAGCAGAAAAACTTTCAGTGCAGCCTCAGAATAAGCTGCGAATCCAGCCTGTGGGCGACTCAGGTCCGTCTAGAGACCCTTTCGTTACCTGCATGCGGGTTAGCAGGTGCGGCAGGTTCTGCACATGGGACACAAAGACCCAGCAGGCACAGTGGCGTAGGAGGCCCTGCACTGGAGGAATGGCTCCCCTTCCTCTCCTGCACAGCTCCGGTCTCCCTCACCGCTCTGCCCACTGTGGACCAGGGCAGGCTAAAGAATCACCTTTCTAAATGGGGTTAGGTCCCACCAGCACCTGGTGCAAATCTAGACTACCTGGGATTCACTCACCTGGCCTGAACCGCAAACGGACGCTTCCTTTGCCGTTTGCCTCTCGTGTCCTCCCTCTCCCTCCCCCTGGCTCTCTCTCCTCTTCCCGGGTCCAAATCCTGCATGATCCATGTTTGCACAAACTAAACTAGGATTCTCCAGCCACTCCCAGCACCGACTCCTACACCAGACTCACCCGTCCCATCCAGCACCTCCCCTTCACCACGGCCCTCCCTCCTGCACAGCCCACGGTGAACAGTGTCCGCTTTGGTTTTTACCCTAGAGTCAAATACAATTTTCCGCCTCATTCCCAGGCCTGGTCAGATATTTGTGCTACTCAGTTAGTAAGTTATTTGAGGACCACACACGGGCCAGCAGAGGCAGCGCTGAGCCTGTCTGCAGTCCCAGCCTAGGACACCTTGCCCAGCTTCCCCCAAGGCCTGGGGGAGACGCAGCAAGGTGAGAGGAGCGTGTGCACCTGCTAGATCCCAGCAAAGGCATCCAGCCCACAGCAAAGGTGAGGTGCAGACCTGCAGGGCAGCCAGGCACTCACCAAGCCTCTCTGTTCCCTCCTGGCATGAGCGACGGGCCATACCGGGCCCCCTCCTCGCCACCACTGACACCGCTGCCCACGAACAAGATGCCCTTGGCCTTAAGGTCTTGACATCGTCTCTGAAGAAGAGAAAAACCAAGTCATGATGCCTCCAAAACCCCAATTTCTCCCACAGGATGAGAGGGATTAGCTGGGCAGAGGCGCCCTGGTGCATGGGCCCAGCCCAGGGCCTCGGGGACAATCACTCAAGTCAGGCCTCTCTGTGTGGCAATAAACAACTGTTTCTCCCGGATGTTCAAGGCCCCTTCCCTACTGCCAGAGGGAGTAATAAAGGCAAACAGACCTTACCATTTTTCCCTGGAAAGACCCCGTACAAAAAGCCTCAATGAATTAAGAACTGGTTTAATACAAGCTTGATGACTTAGTATCCTTCAGCACTTTGCAGCATGCAGGGACATCCCAGCTCCCAGGGCCTGAGGCCACCAGAGCAGGGTTCTCAACCATGCTAGACACAGACTCTACTGGTCAGGCAATAGTGGGCGGGACGAGGGGAGCACAGCAGCCAGCGCTCTCAGAGCTGGGGGTATGGACTGAGATCCCATCCAGCCAGCAGGAAAAGGCCCCGTACCAGGTGACACAGAGCCAGACCCCGGGAGAGCCAGCCCACTGTCACCGGTGAAACAAGGACACTTCTCTCTCAAGTGTTCCTGGGACCTGGAGGAATCAGGACTAAGGGACACTCACTGTGGTATCATGGTACTCGGAATTACCCCCATCAATGATGATGTCACCAGTGTCCATCAACGGGACCTGCAACCAGACATGGGCACCAGGATGACCAAAGTCAGAAAGAACAAGAATTTATCCCAAATATGTATAGTCTGCGGGCATGTTATATTTGTCAACAATTCTGAGTGGCTACATTCACACCTTACTTAAACTCGTAAAGCGAGGCAGGCATGATGGCTAATCCCAGTACTCAGGAAGCTGAGGCAGGAGGACTGCCACAAGTAAGGCTAGCCTGGGCTACACAGTGAGTACAAGCCAGTCTGAAGTGCAGAGTGAGAACCTGTCTCAAAAACAAACTAACAAAAACAAGAGATACACTTGCTAAAGCCTAGAATTGTTTGGTATGAAACTAAGTTTCCAGTTCCTTAAAGGGCTATCTTATCATTCATATTATACAACTGCCAAAATTGCTGGTGCTGGATGCCCAGAGGCTGAGTCAAGGGGAGTGTAAGCTCAAGGCCAGCTTAGACTACACAGTGAGAGCCTATCTCAAAAACACAAAAAGGAAGGGAGGGCAGGAGGAAGGAAAGAAGGAAGGAAACTACTGCTTTATAGGAACACTGAAAAAAAAATAGATTTCTAAAGTAGGACACAGCCGAAAGAGGTGGCTGTAATCCCAGCACTCAGGAGGCTGAGGCAGGAGTATTGCTGCCCATTTGAGACCAACCTAGGCTACACAGTGAGTTCAAGGCCACCCTGAACTATAGTTAGACTTTGTCTCAAAAAAACAAGGGCCGGGGATTTAGCTTAGTGGTTCTGCTGCCTGCCCCTCAGGGAACTGTAAGAAAACTGTTTTGGCAATGCTTGGGACAACGCAGGGTCCTTGCACTGAGCTCCATCCCCAGCTCTGTTTTACTCTTTTGAGACAAGGTCTTGCTAAGCCCCATGTTGCCCTAACTGGGCTCTAACCTATGATTCTCCTGCCTCAATTTCCCCAAGTGCCTGGATTACCAGGCACGTGCCACCACACCACACCACATGTAGCTGTAAAAGTTTTTTGAATAACAAAGACAGAGAACCCATTAATAGATTCCTATTGTTCTGATTCTTACTGCTAATAAATCCTCAGGGAAAGGTCTCTCCCATCCTGGACTTACTGCCACCCAAGGATATTGCTGCCCAATGCACGCCAGCCAGGTTAGCCAACACTAAAACCTTTACACAGTCATCCTCTCAAAGTGAACCCTTCGAATCCAGAACATGAAAAGATCTCCAAAGGAAAACCCAGGAAGGCGCAGCCTGGACCGGAGCACCTCACCAGTTTCTCAATGAAATCATCCACGGCCTGGCCGGCCTTCACCAGCAGGATCACCCGGCGCGGCTTCTTCAGCTTGGACACCATCTCCTTCAGGGAGTGCGCACCCACCACGTTGGTTCCCTTTGCCTCGTTGGCCAAGAAATCATCCACCTTGGAGACCGTCCTGTTAAAGGCACAGACCTGGAGGGACAAGGGGCCTGATAGAGGGTCTGGGACACACAAGATCTTCAGCCTGCACACCCAGGAACAGTGACGTGTCCGTGCAGCCTCAAGTCCCAGGGAGGGCTCAGGCCACCACGGCAGGGCCACACAGCAGTGTCCCCAGGGTACCTGCTGGAGCCTGTTGCTGCCGGTTAAGCCTCAGAACCAAATCCAGGAAGTAGCTGTTCCACCAGGGGCTTGGCCTCCTCTTCTACCTGTCTCTCGAGCTGAGGATCAACCCAAAGCCTCCCACGGGCTCAGCCAGCTTTCAGCCCGAGCTGTGCCCCCTCGTGTCCCTGATAAAGCCGTGCATCTAAGCCACTTTAGAGCTCAGAAATAACATTTGGAGCCTGCCTGCGGTGGTGGCTGAGGTCCCAGCGACTGCGGAGGCTGAGGTGGGAGGACGGCTTGAGCTGGGAGCCAGAGGCCAGCCAGGGCAACAAAGGGTGATCTTGTCTCGAAAACAAAACCATTTTCTCTCTCTCAGATCTCACTGGGCAATAAGTCAGCAACTGCTCCCCAAGGCGGAGGATGTATCCTCTTGCACCACTGGGTGCTACTTAAGCCACCTAACCTCGTAGGAGCCTCCTTCCTGGAACTGCAGACAGCCGGCCACATGCACGACTAAAGTGGCTTCTTTTACACAAGTGCCACGGGCAGCTTCGGGGTGCACGGGCCGCAAGCGGGCGCAGACTCCACGCGGTCTGAGAAGCTGGGCGGCTGCACGGAGGTCAGGGCGGGGACGTGTCCCCAGCACTCACCACAAAGCCGTGGTCATTCATGTTCAAAATCAAGTTCTGGCCCATGACAGCCAGTCCGATGAGCGCAACGTCAGCTCTGAAAGGCCGGGGAGAGGACAAAGAACAACGTCAGCGCCCGGTCACTTCGGATACGACTGGGAAGTGGTCCCCGCCACACACCGCCTGCGCCGGCCCCGCAGGGAACCTCGGCGCCACCGGACTGACCCAGCCCAC